CTGCATAGTGCAGGGGACCTGGACTCTTTTAGCCCCCAACAGTCCAAGAATCTACTATGCTGTGAAGGTACTACTAGATTGAGAAGAAGTTCAGAGTTGCACTACCAGGAGCGTTCAGACAGATTTTGGTTCAGGAAAGAGCTGCTGCTCTGGGCACAGGGTGACATTTCTTCATCCCATTTTATCATTTGAAGGGCACAAGGGTTTGGGCCTGGCCTCCATCCCGAGAAGAATCACATTACTCGTGGAGGGGAAGCCCTATGCTCTGATGAACTGCAGTATTTGTTACCTTAAGCAGGAAGAAGTTTCCACACAAGAGCAGGATTGCGAAGTCTTACCTACATGAAGATAGGCATATGCCTGCCAGGACTTCATGCTGCTTCTCCTAAATTGATTGCCATTGATCAGAAAGTGGCCTTAGACCAAGCTATGGCAGCACTGCATGCCTCTGGGTGGTGAGGCCCAGTTCAAGCAGTTCCCATTGTAAAGCTACACAGATCTTGCATTGAAGGCAGCGCGTTATGTCTCCTCAGTGACTGTGTTTTCACAAAGTATGCGTTTCCCTGTACTGCATGATCTGCTATAGAATTACAGACTGCTAAACAGGAAAGGTAGGAGCAGAGAAAAAAATTAGGAATTTCTATCGTTTCCAGTGTAGGTACTCTAGCTGCTAAATCAGTGTGCCCCAACCCCCACTTCCTTCCACTCCCCTCCCCTCCCCCCCAACTTACCTTCTTCAGCAGTTTTGGCTCCAGAGATTCCAGGACAGTCAGTGGCAGGGGCCCTAGCCCAGCCCAGCCAGATAAAAGCATTGGCTTAGTTGGTCAGGGCTGGAGCCAGAGCTGAAGGTAAGGGTAGCAGACAGTAGAGGTGGGAGGGGGCAGGCATTAAGAATCACTGCTTTCCTGAAGGTTTTTTCTGCCTAGCTCCATATGGTGTCCATCTACATTGTATCAAAGTATCCTATAAGTCATTAGCTGATTCCATCCTTGCAATATTCCTGCCAGGCAGATAGTACCATTTTAGGTTTACAATGGGGAACTTAATCACGAGCTATATGGGGTGTGTTGGGAACAGAAGGTCCTTACTGGGGTCACCTGCAAATCATGGTGGGTATTGCTTCTCTATTTTAGTCACTATTGCCCCCCCATGCTTCAGCTGTCACTTACCACATTGCCAATTTCCTTGTTGGGCAGTGCCACCGATGACAGGAAATAGTGGTGGTCATAGCAGCTGAAGTACTGGCGGGGGGAGGATGGGATGGGGACTCAAGAGCATGTGATGGGGCTTAAACCCACCCAGCTTGGGAAATGCTAGATAACAATGAATGTAGTGCAACAGAGACAATGTTTCTGAGGAAACCAGAGTCACTAGAAGTAAGCTCACCCAGTGGACAGGTTGAACATAAGCACAAGTATGAAATTCATGCACCCAGAGTGAAAATCATCCATGATACTGGCCTCTGAAATTAATAATCAAAGATTATGCCTAGTGACGCATCAGAAGAAAGCCTTTATTCAGAAATACCTACAGGTGGAGCCAGATCCCATTTAATATAGTACATGTGTGTATTCTTAGAAACTGTTTTGAAGTAGGCCTTTGTGGTTGGAAAGAGAGGAGCTCGTTAGTGTAAACTTTAATCGTTCCAATTTAGAACTGTATTTTTTAATACATAGTGTTTTAGTGAATCTTTTTACAATTAAATATTACACCAAAATACTCAGAGCTGATTTTTAGGAGATCAAAAAATAGGGAACTTATTTTACAAACTACAAAGAAAATTGACTTTTTGAACAACTTTGATATAAGCACATACTCTAGTGGAGTGGTTCTCAACATTTTTTTAATTTAAGGCACCCCTCCGTAAGTTTTGAGAGCTGAGTGGCAACTAGTTTTAAAAAAAACTTTGTATATTACTGTGCATACCTCTTTGGCAGATGGGTCAGGCTGTGGGGGTGGAGGGCAGCTAAGTAGGGATAAGCCTAAGCATGCATGTACCATATTTACCCAAATCCAGGATGGATTTGAATTTAAGAACCCCCCATAATTAATTCTATACATAGAACGTTATTGGGGGGTCATCTTAATTGTCCCCCCACTGCTGTGGTAGGGAAAGCAGTGGCAGGGGGAGTGAGGGGCCAGATCCCTGCCCCTTGCTCCCACCCATGCCTGTGCCTGCTCCCATGCCACTTGCTTCTCTACCAACCTCCCTCTCACCCTGTGCCATTTCCTGCCCCCTCCATCCCCTGCTGCTTACCTTTGGCAGCAGTAGCAGTGGCCCTAGCCCAGCCCACCCAGGTAGAAACAGCAGTGGGAGCTCTAGATCCTGTTGGTCAGGGCTGGAGCCAGCGATAAAGGTAAGGGAGAGAGAGACATTGAGAATCACTGCTCTAAGTGAATATTTTTCTGTCTAGATACTAATGGTGTCTGTCTACATTTTATCTAAAAATATCATAATTCATTAACTGCTTCTTTCTTTGTAATATTCTTCTGGGGTAGCACAGTATCCTTTTACACTTACAGTGGGAAACTTAGCCATGAGATAGATAGGGCAAGCCCTGAAAGTCCAGAACACAATTCTTAAGCCACAGTCCAGCACAGTGTGCACAAAGCCATTCCCAGCCCTGTTTCATTTTGTCAGCCTCAGTCACTATCTCCACAACAGGAGTTGTTTTACAGTGCAGGCATCCAATAAAAGCAAGTAAATGGAAGTGTTTATATATCCATTTTCTTGAATAGAGGCAACCCATCACTAAATGCCGTGCAATTCTTAATTCACTTACAATGGTGGTTCCAATATGAATGTCCAGATTTAGTAAGGGATGGGAAATGCAAGAAGTGAGTGTGTTCCCGAGGCGATACTGTACTTGTCTGTTAAACAGGTAGTTTCATTTAAGATCCCTGTCAAAACTTAACAGCCTATGAAGCAATCGGAGTTGACAGGTAAAGGCCCAATGTGTGACACTGAAGACAATCTAGATTAAAAGATTTCAAGTTGGTATGGCAATTTACATAATTATATTTACCAACAAATTGGCTAAGAAACCTTCCTGGAACCAGGTGTTTCTCTATGGTGGCTAAAATCAACTGAAGGTGACAGTTTGAAACAATTTGTCACACGTTCTATTTCTAGAAAAAAAAATTTTTTTCCTCTTAAAGTCAACTTGGCAATATAAAACAGACTTTGTCAGCCTGTTGCTAGAGACCCATTTGTATTAGTGTTCTATTAAAAACTAGCCACCAGACAACTTCAAGGTAAAAAGACTTTCAACCTTTTTCTGTGCCTGACCTGGACAAAAAGAACTGTTCCAAACAGGAGACTTACCACACCTTCAGCTCCCCTGTGAAATATGAATTTTCACTTCTACCTATGAGAACTTTTACAATCTCTGCTTTCTCATACGCCTGATGAAGGGTGAGTCTGCCCGAAAGCTTGCAAATATCTTATTGGTCTAAAAAAAGGTATCACCTCTTCCACAAATGTTGATTCCATTTACTCTGTCGAGCAGTTAAAGCAGAATTTTAAGAATCAGCAAGCAGCTTCGGAAGTCAGGCTATGCATAGCCATTTTTAATTCCTATATAGGTATCACGTACAGTGGACTATGTTAAATGCATATCTTCGAGACAAAAATAAAAGGCTAAGTCACCCAAACAATGTAAATAATGTCCTAACCACAGGAATGCAGTATGCAAAAAGCTCTTGACACCTTATTCTGGCTGCCTTGTTACTCAGAGAATCCTATGCCTCTAATAGCAGACTTGAAGTTGACAGGACCTAGTTCAGTTCTGATACTGGGAGCTTTGGGACGGGCAACTGCTATGCAATTGTGGAAGACAGCATGGTTAAAATGTTCCTATACAGATAGCACATGTTCATTTAATGTAAAATTGAGATTGGCATTGTGTTATGAATTATGCATTTATATACACATGTAAGCAGAGTACATTCTAGCTTCATATTAGACTAATAAAATTATGTCAGTGGCTTAACTCAATTAAACTTCTCTTTTTCTTCTCTAAAGATAAACATTGTGAATGATGAAAAAACTAGCATGGTAGACAAAGCATTTACTGAAGTACAGAAAGAAGTCAAGCAACTATCAAAAGGAATTTCAGCAGAATCTCAAAAGGGACATCTGGTAAGAGTTATAAAAGTGCTCTTAGTGCTCACTGCCAATAAGACATTAATAGCATCCTCAGTTGAAAAGAGTGAAAGAATTTAATATTTTTAGCTCATCACTGAAAAAAGTGGTTGTGACTCAGTGCAATGCTGTCAAGTCTGCAGGTGATAACCTGAAATGTAAATTACTTTATTCCTTTCAACTAAATGTTAACATTGAAATCTATTAACAGAGTCTCAAAAAGATGCAAATCCCACTTCTATCCATTCAGATTCCCCTGAAAGGAAAACACATTTTGAAATTTGGTATTTCTGTGTCTAGAGCTTTCATAGGACTCCAATAATTGGTCTTCTTGGTACAAGACAGATAATACAGTACTCTATGCAGAAGAATGTACCTTCACCATTTTAGGATTGTGTAGACCCAGGATTTTGAAAAATGGGGTGCAGAGTTGGGGGCTTGGGGGATGGGACCAAGAGCCAAGACTACAGCTCTCAGTGGCAGAAAGCTTACTATGCGTTCAATAGATAGTTAAAGAGGGGTGCAACCCTGTGTCAGACTGGAGTTCCTCTAAAATTAAGTCTGTTTTCATTAAGTCCATTATGTTTTGGCCACTGGTCCAGCAAGTCTTTTATTCTTCAAAAGTGAATAAATTATAGCATACGTTTCATAACCTGTTGTCTACACATACAAATATTCTAGCTTTCTTTCAGCAGTGAAATTAAGATGTTTTATACTTATACTTTTTCAGGTTTCTAAACCCCTGGAAAGTGAACCAGCCAACGTGGATGCTGCTACAGACTTATTATCACAGTTGTAATGCACAATGGCAGAGCTACAAATTTCAAAGCCAAATGAAATGATGAAAACTACTAGATTCTTTGTACAGTTTTATTAAAAAAATCTTGTTAATATACAAGCATCAGCACACTTTAATACAAACTACAAACAGACCTTTCCTATCATCTAGGAAAGTGGAATGTCAGAAGTCAATGTGAGAAACTTAAAGTGCTAAAACAGAAGGCACTTCACAAAATTGGTTCACTGAAACAATTTAGCATAACCATGTTACTGTCCTTCACCTTATAGTTTGGCAGTGAAAGCTTTAAAATTGTTTGAAAAAGGTTTTAAAAAAATACAAAAAGCTTCTTGGCAGTAAAGCTTCATACACAATGCTTTTACCTGTAAGTAACAAGTCTGGGTCATTACAAAAAAAAACTGCTATAAAATGGTTTTCACTTTCAGAAAAAAAGAAAAAGCAAGGGACCTTGGGATCTTAAATCAAATTACCTGAAATTCATTATAATGAAAAAGCCCTTTCTTCTAGTTTTTGTACGTAAAAAGTTTTGTGAAGTAGTTGAGGAAGCAAAAGGAAACACACTCCCAAAGTCGATGAACTAAGAATTTATACATTCATTATTTTAAATACTTAGGTTATGAAGAAGTCTAGAATGTTACATAGTTAGAGGTAGATATGACAGTCTGGTTGATACCAAATCTAATAATTTAGTATCTGCACATCAAAAAGATCACAGACTCCTTCATTATCATCCAGGTTAAAGTTGTAGTCATCTCCAGGAGTGGGAGAGAGTCGTAAGAGAGGAAAAACTGTAAAAACAAGAACCATTTAGATAGTTAATAAGCTTTATTATAGTAAAAATTTCCCTGAAAGTCAGTTTTGAAGTCCAGTGATACTAGATGAGATATTAAAGAGGGATTTGGAAGTATCAGGCAATGTAAGACACCAATGCAACTGCACCAACATAAGATTAAAGAAAAAAATTGAGAATAGGTAGGTGCAGTTCATTACATTTCAAATGGATCTGCCAGCAATGTTACCTGGACTGGAGCCAATGCGGTATAATGGAGATTTCAGTTCCCTCGGCTGCAGCAAAGCAACTATTAAGCAGCATTTGTGGTTGATACTAGTGATCTATTGTACTTCTATGCCCCCCTATTGTTATAGCATCTGTGCACCTCACCTTCTCCTATATATTTATACTAAAAGGTAAAAGTAATACTATTATATCCACTTAACAGATGGGGGAACAGAGGCAGAGACAGACTAAAGTCTTGCCCAAACTCACACAAAAATCTAATGAGTTCAAACCCACCATATTTTTCACATGCCATATGCCCCTAAGTAAGAGAGAGACTTTGTTTTGGGAAGGCAGAATGAAGAAAAAAAAAAACCTGTTCCACTCAGTTTCCTCATTTAAGAGACGCACCACATTTTGGAGGATTGATTTTTGAGGAGGGGGAGGGGACAGCAGTAGGAAGGTTCATGTGTATGTGAGGAAATGCACCGTATTTGCTCAGAGTGGCACTCAAATCAAATCACTGAATAGTTCTCTTAGTTACAGCCAGCAGGAAAAAGGGAAACAGGTGGAAGCATGGAGACTAGAACCAAGGAGGAAAGGGAAGGAGGTAGAACTGAAACAGGTCACAGTACTGCCCATCCACTTTAAATAGCAGGTATATTTAATGAAGTTTGGAATAATATTTAGATAAACATCCAACATAACAGTCCATTAATACTCAAGTATGAAATACATGCTTAAAACCTAATCCTTATTCACTGAAGCAAAATGGGAATCCTAAATGCTTACCATCTGAAGACATTAATTCGTCAATGATATCACCGCTAATAGTGCCTGTTAAACATAAACACATGTTTGTCAAAGTCAATCTAGGTTCTGTGCATTAAACAGATATTAAAATAGAGCTGTGCTCAGCAATGTTTCAGATTGGGGGAATGCTTTATTAGAGCTTAGGTCTGAGCATGGGCTGCTTCCAACCTGACCCATGCCACCAGTCACTGTTCCTCCCCGCAGTGCCACTGCTGCCTCTCTTCCCTGAAGAAACACCTCTCCCCACCCTGGCTCTACAGGCAGTAAGTTCAAACTGCTAAAGTAGAGTGTTAGGTGAGGGGATTTTTGCTGAACACTTGCAACAACGAGCTACACACCCTCCAAGCCAAAGCATGTTCTTCCTAGGAAAATTCACTGCTATTTGGTTAGGAGAAATGAAGTATAGCACTGGCAAAACAAAAAAGAAAAACAAGATATCTTACCTGTGGGCTCTTCCATCTTTGCAATGTCAAATGAGTTTGGCTTGAGAATACAATTAACGTCCAAGGGAAGCAAGGCTGGATAGTCATTTGAGCTAGCAGTATTTTGCGTTACATCTGTTACAAGACTAGTGTACAGGCCAGACTCTGGAAGGCTAGGGTAAGGATTTGCTGGAGTTGTATCACTCTGTTGCAAACTGCTTTCTAGAAAGACAAGAAATGATGCATTATTTTTTAAAAATTAGTGTAAACATGACCCATAATGCCTCCACCTTGTCCATTAGAACAGTAGTTCTCATCCTTTTTAGACCCAAGGTACTCCTCAGAAAATGCCAGCTCTTAGCCGTCACTAGTTTTTTTGACTATAGAAAAATAAAAGAGCAATTCTTCTGCTATGAAGAACTCAGAAAGACCACACCCAGGTCAGAACATTTTTGATGCTATGGATTGGTATTAGAAATCTCTAGGTTTTATCCTGTGAATTATGTTTGTACACTTCACAGTCCTAATATCACATGGCATCCTACAGCAAAGGATCTTGCAGTACTTTGGTTGAGAACTGCTGCATTAGAGCATGTCCAATATTTGCAGGCAAGTTAAATGAATCTCCCCTACTCTGCAAGATGCACATATCTCCATAGACTCTTCAGAGATTTGGTTCTGGTATCTGTGATCTGTTCCAAAACAACATTTTATTACCTCAGCATTCATGCTAAAAATGAGTGTGGATGATCTCTGTGATATTGTGGGAGAAGGCAACCACGTTTTGGAATGACAGCAAGAATTTTTTGTGATTTGTTTTATGACAAGGTTCAAGAATTTCAGCCCCACTGGAGGCTTTCCATCTTATTCAGCTACTGCTACATCCATTTGAAAAAAAAAAGTCAACTTGGGGCCCTGCTGTGCGCTAGTTCTAAGAACATTTCACAAGAATACTTCTGAGATCCTCCTGGTAAAAGACTAATTGTAAAGGAAAATCTCAGCAGCAGTCTGGCAGAGAGGCTTCTACTCTTCATCAAGACAGCGGATACATAACATTGTTGATTCATTTTCCCTCCTACCCAGTTTTCTAAGAAAGTTTATTTGAGGGGAACCCCCCACCCCTTGACTTACCTGGTGGTGTCTCTGCAACAGATGTATGTGGTAAATGCTGCCCTTGGTCAAGACCATGGTGCTTTGATGCATCTTGAGTAGCTTTGGTAGGTTTTGGGGGAGTCACTGGTGGAGCAGGTTGAGATGGGGGCTGTGCAAGGTCATCAGGTGGAGGAACTGGAAACACCACAGGCTTGGAAGAACTGGATTCTTTGTTAATAAGCAAAACGTGGATAGGTCCTGAACTGCTTTTTAGATTGATCTGGTATTTCTTTTGTCCATTTTGTCCCTTTAATGATTAAGACAGATTATTTTTTAGTTAGAAGTTCAAAGAATTGTAAGTAGCTTCATTGTTTTCTATGGCAGTTACTGCAGGCAAAAGGGTTTTTATTAAGACTGTCACTGCATCGTTGCAGTGCAATTTAATTCATACTTATCCCAGAATCACAGTAGGTTTCTCATAACAAACCAGCAGTGAAGACCTTTGGGGACTATTTACATGTAAAATAATTTCCTTTTACACTCATCTGCAAAATTGTTTTAATTGGGACTAAGTATCCTGTTATGGCTGAATCCTTTTCCCTTGATTCACTGAACACAGGACAATTAAGTCTTAATAGGGACAATTTCCTAACAGAACTGTCAACATTAAGCTTCTCTGTTAACGAGGGCTGTTTTTTCTGGTGCAGTTTAGCGAGTGCTGTGCCACTTCAGGGGATTAGACAACTTTTTTTCCCCACATTTTGAGGAGAAAAAAAAGGAAGAAATGGAAGAAACAAAAAGGGCATCATTTACAACTTAAGACTGAACTCCAAGTTTTAATGAACCTCAAGACATTCTAAAGCAATCTGCCCCCAAAGAGCCAGAACTTATACTGCAACTGGCAAATATTTCTGTTATAGAAAGAACTTGAAATTGTGTGCATCCATCCGTACTGAGGGCAGTCTCACTAGATCAGCTTTGCAGCTCATGAGGGATTTTTTATGCACTTAGAGTTTAATTACTGCACTTGGATGAGAAGCGAATCACTCATTCCTCACTTGAGTTTAAATGAGAAACTGGTCAAATGGAACTGCTTTTCTACAAGCACAATGGCAAATATTCTTTGTGCCACTTTTCCTGTCCACGTAGGCAGTGTTGAAAAGAGGGGGAAAATATTTCAATATAGAAACTGAAGATACAAAGATGACAGAAGAGAAGCGATTTGCTTTGTTGGCTTTTATCTTGCTCACCCACCAACCTGGTCAAAGCTTTGTTTCATCATGTTCTCTGCAAAATTGTTACACAGTCTCCTTAACCTCCTTGCTCTATAAAAAATCTGATTTTGGGTTTCTGAGTTCTTTGGGCCAGAAGGGGTATGAGAGCAAGGAACTTACCACAGAGGGATCAATGTTGGCAAACTTTAAAAAGGGAGACCAAGGCCATTACTCTTTGCTGTGAGGGTTGAAGCAGCATTTGGGAGTGGGTAAGAGAAGGGGAAAACTCCATATCCAGTTACATGAATCTTAATAGTCTCTCTCATGAGTGAAAAGAAAAAAATCCCTGATTGGTACAGGTATTATTCCCCCATCCTCTTAGACAAATATAAACAGGTTGTTCATACATACCATTTCAGGTATAGGAACTTCTAACTGTGTACCACAAGGTGCTTGAATTGCTAGAAGCGTGTCTCCTAGTTAAGTAGTAATTTTAAGAAAATATTAACCACACGTATAACTTTCCACATACCTGCATAGTTGTATACACTCACATAGGATACTATTCTACAGACACTTCATATACTGCACCCTTTCAAGATAAATACGAGAACAAAAGAATAAATAAATAAAATCTCATTGTGTGATCATATGACTAGGGACCTACCCATATCGCAACTGTGCGGATTTTGCAGAAATTGTGGACTTGGGCGATCTCCGTGAAATGGGGGGGAAGAAGAAGAGGGACACACAAGAACAAGACACAAAAAACCCTTACTAAAATAAAATGTTGGCTTTCCAGTGGAAGCCAGCAGTCCTCCCGGGTGTGCAGCCTGGCATGAAGGCAAGCAGGTAAGGTGGCTGCCGTCCCCACTCCTTGCTGCTGAGGGGGTTGCCTGTCGTGCAGCCCCCACCCCTCCACCAATCAGAGGCATAAGCCCATGGAAGTGGCAGCCACCCTCACAATCTTCCTGTGAAGTTGGCTGGCTGCCTTCTTGGGCTGGGTAGACTCCTCCATATGACCCCAATAATTCTGGAAGCATACCCCAAGTATCTGAGCATTAACCGACTTCCCTTTACAACCCCGACAAAATTGGATACAATAAGCCTCTTGTTCAGTTCTGAAATGAAGTACTATTAAAGGCATTATTTTTAAGACTGCAAATATGGAGTTCCTGACCAGTTAAAAACACTTTTAAGCATTTCTGCCCAATAGCAACTTACCATTGAAGCAATTACAGATGTCTTCATGAGTGACGTATGAAAACGTAACTGCTGTCAAGGAAACTTTCAAAAGGCAAACAAACTGAATTTTTCCTTAAGTACTGTGCAGCTGGTATTTGTGGCAGTTCGCAAAGGGTATTTAGTATTTCTACTTTATGCTATTTGGGCCAATATACACTACAATCTTTCTGTTAGCAGCCAGGTCACAGAGATGAACTGCGTTTGATATAGCTCTGCTAACATTAACTAGCCAGTTTGTATTGTTGAATATATATGAAGGAGAGGGGCATTTGGGGAAGGAATATTTTTGAGAGATTTAATACATCAAATATTGACATTTTTATAGGAAAAATATATATATATGCACACACACATATGCATGCTATTCCTTCACTGTTGACTTGGGATGCAGTCAGTTCTTAGCAAACTGACTCCAATGTACTTCGCACAGCTGGACTCAGCTATTGGTTTTAAAAATACATAGATTGGGGGAAAAAAAGCCATTCTTTTAAAAGTGTGTGGCTGAACTTCTGAGTGATGGCCTTTCCCACTGTTACTAGTATTGACCAAACTGGTTTCAGGTCAGCTAAAGTTCATCAGGTTAATGATCTGGGAAGTTAAGCAACCCTGACATGATAAACGTATTTGATTTTATTGAGCAGTTCCTCTTGAGCAACCATAGCATAGTGATAAGGACTTCATAACTGCTTATAGGAAAGATGGCATTTCCCACCCCCAAAGTCCCTAGTTATAGAATATGTGAAACAAAATTCGTAAGAATACTAAACACGGTCACATACTACAGGCACAAACACAACAAGCGAAACTAATTATTGGCTGTTTACATACAAGAAAAATACAGTTCCAGTGAATCTCAGAAATCTTACCTTTTCAAAAAATTAAGTAACCTGTCCTGTAAACAATAACAGAAATAAAACGCCAAAAAAATCCTACGATACTGCTAAAAAGCTTAACTTACATGTATGAATACAATGAATTTCAGTTAATTCCAAAGGCTACATTTTCTTCATTAAAAAATTGCTCTGTGGCAGGGAAGTACAAATTTTTAATATCTTCATCTTTAGGTCAAGCCAAAACTGAATTTTTCCAAAATATCTGGCATAATACAACAATGACTTATTTTTAAAAGGCCTCAAAATGATACAAAATTCATAAAAGCAAAGGACTGATTCAGAAGGGAATTTCAATGCCATCCAGAACTTGTGGTAGTGCTGATAATGCCAGTCCCATGGCCTAATGGTTAGGTCCTTTCATTAAGCCCAAGTACAGAAAGTCAAAAAGACTGGGGCTAAATTGATTCAGTCTTTGCAGGTTAGTCTAAATTGCAAAGATTGATCCAATAAGCAAATGAATAGACATTCACCTTGGATTCAGGAAATATAGCCATGTACCTGCAGTGGCTCAAGCCAGAAGCTGGGAGGGCGCTACAGCATGGCTCTCTGGCACATAGCCAGCATGGGCTGTGTATTCGCTTCCTCTTCCTGCTGCCTCCAAGGTTTCTGGAATTTGCAGTCCACAATCATAACAGCAGGAATCTGCAGGATTGCTCATTACTTCCTCTTACTGCTTCCAGGTGCCTCTGGGATTTACAGTCCACAGTTGCAGCCAGCAGTAAGTTTAGTAGGACAAGGCAGCTCTGTACTCAGGAGAAGGGAAATTTAACTCCCTCGGTCCCAGACCTCCAGCTAGGGAGCGGAGGGGTGGGGCTAGCCCTGCTCTCTGCAGCAGACAGCACAGCCCAGCCCAGCCCAGCCCAGGGCTGCAAAATGCTGGGGGGCTGTGATTTAAGTTGAACCAGAAAGGGGTCTGGGACAAGTTTCATAAGCAGTTTAACCTAAATCAGTTGAGTCTGATACTACATTCAACCAAGTTTATCTTAAATCAGTTTCAGCCACTTTGAAACTGGCTGGTGTGCACTGAAATTCTATTCTGTTAGAAGTTTAAACCAGTTTCTGATCACTTAAACCAGTGTATGTGTAACTTCTGTCCCTAGTCTAAAAGGTAAAGAACCAGGGTTAAAATCCTCACTTTGAATGAAGTGGAGAAAGGATCTGAACCCAGGTCTCTTACACCCCAATGGAGTATCACAACCTCTGGGGTCTCTCAGAAAAGGAATGGGCACCATACTTCCTCTTCCTCAGTTTTTCTGTATGGCACCTCAAGGCCTATGTGGATCTAGCCACCAAAATTATGTGGCTCAGTTTAGAAATGGCAATACTAATTTTTGAGCTTTCTAGATTTTAATTTAGCTAAAACTATGTGCTTAAATTCAACTTAAATTCATGAATAGTTTTGGGTTACCACAAGCAGCATTGCTTGGTGAATTAATCATCCATTGAAACCTCCTGCCCTCCCCAAAAAACACACGCAGTCTAAGTTAAAACTTAAAAAGGCCTATTGCAATACCCAAAATCTTGCTACCAGTTAAATATAATTTCTGTTCCCCAAAGTATATTTTCCAGTACTTTGTCTAATTCAGTTTTAAAATTTCACAAGCATGCTTGCTTTCACTTTAGACTTTTCCATGTGTTCAACAGTCTACTGGATCTTGCTATCAACTCATAACTCTCACTTCAAAAAGTGAAAAGTGAGTTACTTCCACAAGTACTGTAAAGAAAACTGAAATTCCACTCTAACTGAAAATGTACAAGTGATTCCATTTCTTTTAGAGCTGTTAAAACCCCAATGAGTCACCTAGTTCAATTTTCCTTTTCTTGTTTCCCATGAACATCATGCTTTACCATCCAGTTATTTTAATTTTATTTTGAAGGCACATCCAATAAGTGTCCAAAGGATATTGGTTGTTTGTAGAGTCATCCATTACATTTTTGATGCTTTGCTGCAGCCACAGTTTTTGCTGATCCAGCTCTTTTTCTTTTAGTTCCAGATCTTCAATTTCAGCTTCCAGATACCTCAGCCTGTCTATGACTTCTTTTGTATTGCAGCCAGCACCTACACCTCTTTAAAAGGTATAATATTATATTAATATTATATGCAACAACATAATACTTCTTTATCCATTTTCTTCTTCAGGCCTGGCAGTACTTTCTGTACCCACTCCAATTTTCCCCAAGCTGACTGTTACGGGGGGAATCTGGGGAGGGGAGAATGTATTATGTTTGGTTTTGCTTCATGTTTTGTTTTTAATAAAAAGGTAGAGCCTTTGGCTCTTCTCTCACTTTAGATCTACCACAGAACAATATTCTAATCCCATGCCCCAGATTCATTTTTCAGTTCAAGAATCTACTCTGGGACCTAGTTATACAAAGCGTTATGATCGATTATACAAATGTTAGTGAACATGAGAAATACCAGACTGACAGTCCCCCAAAAGTGAACACTGTCCAGACACAAAGGTCTGAAAAGCAGTAATATGAGCTTTCCCATGCTCCCCCCTGCCAACATGCACAAAGTACTTTAGTCTCCCTAGTCCTATCTGAAAACAAAGATTACACCTAGTAATGGGACTACTGACATTTCATGTGTCACACCCTAATCTTAACATATATTTTAAATTGCCAATTAATTGTTCATGGAAAAAGAACACCTTTTTTATTTCTTGAGCCCATGAAAACATACACAGTTCACATCTTACTTCCACTGAATGCTGTTTTTTGACTTTTTCTCAATCAAATCAATCCCTTCCAAAACATTGGTGATGTCATAGATTCTTCTTTTTTGTCTGACAGCAAGAGTATCAGCAGCCTGTTAAAAGAAAGGAAATAGATGCCAGTGACTTGTGTGCTGAGGGCAAGAGTCTAGGATCGTTAGGTTTCTTCCCAGAGGCTGACCTAGCCTCCTGGGTACTGCAGAAGCTAGTCACAATTCTGAAGGGAGGACCCCTGACACCCATTGATCCCAAATGACCTATTTTGCATCACTGTCATTATGAAGAGCAGAGTCTCTGCTTCAGCTCAACCAAACCACACACAAGAATGACATGCAGGGCTCCCTAAGGCATGCTTCAAGAATCCCCCATATATTGTAACATAGGGGCCAATTTTTAGAAGGCAGGGAATGGCAATAGTGAAGGAGGAGTGACCAAAACTCTAGAGAGAGGAAGCACAAAGCAGCTCTCCCTCCTCCGAGGTTGGATTAAATCGAATTTAGTGCAGAGCACTGGCATATGGAACAATGAAAGGTCTCACTAATCAGGGCTGTATGATATATAAAGAGAGAAGCTACTTTTTGTTAATACATTTCAGGCCTCTACCACTGGAGCTGACATTTACTTGAATCATCTTAAGGCTACATCTGCTCCATAGTAAGAACTGTGAATGCAAGTGTTGACATATTCAAGATAGCCTAAGTGCTGATAGCAATGAACTACAGTGACACCATCTTTCACTGTCCAAAATTACCTGCTGTAAGGCTTGCATTACCATACAGCTTCATTACTATATTGATGCCAGTTAGGATAAGTCTACATGAGATGCTATTATGCCTGTCATTGCAATGTGGACAAGGCCTAATGGGGAAAAAACAGAGTAACAGAGCAGGCTAATTCTTGTGTTTTATTATGAACATGGAAACCAAAAACACAACAACATAGCAACTGAGATATCAATGTCTTTACTATATGTTGACCCTTGCATTTCAAGAGTAATGCACTTTTCAAACTGGTTTTGCCAGTAGCATAACTGAGGGGGGTGAGGGAGTGGGGAGGGGCCTTAGGCAGTAGCCTTAGTGCTGCCTTTGGCATGGGGTGGGGGGTGGTGCACAAAAGCAGCTGCCTCTGCAGCGGAGGCTGATTGCACTGCAGCTCTGGGCATTGATAGTTGCTCCAGGCACAGACCTACTCTGCTGTGCCTCTGGCTTTGCTTTCATATTGCATATTCTACACTGAAGACATCCAAAAATCATAGAAAGCCATGATTCAAACAGCACAGGGGCTTATTTATTTACTTGAAACCAGGACAAGGTTCTCCCTCTCTCCACCCCATTCAACATGAAGGGGATGAAAGCCCCTCATCTTGGATTCAAGTACAGGGCACCAAAGGGGCATGTGGCACCTATGTGCCTCCTTCCCCCCACCTCCCACAGCCGCTTACCCTCAATTCTTTCATGGCTTCAACCCAGGGCACAAAGCAGATGCTTGCTCCAGCCCTAGCCCAGCAACAGCTGTTACAGGGGTGGCAGCAGCTCTGGCCAGGCCTCGAAGCCTGGGCTGGGCCAGAACTGCTAGCACTAAACACTGCTACTCGGCCAGGCTGGGGCTAGGAGAGCCCCACCTCCCAGACCATCTGCCCCTCCCATGTCGTGGTTCAGGGGATGAATTTAAAACAACCCTCCAATGTACATAGAAAATGATAACTAAATTTATATATTTTCTATTCACAGAATATAATTATTGGGGTGGGGGAGGGTCATCTTAAATTCAGAGCCACCTTGGATTTGGGTAAATACAGTTCTTTGTAGACAAAAAATTGGGAACCATTCTATGCTTAGCAACTGATCAGTTTTGGACATTTGAACAGAAAGAAAGAACATCAGTTAGGACTCCAGGTTTACCTCTTTTTGAGAAGGCTTAAGAGGCTTAACTTCAGTCTGGAAGACCAGCAAAGATAGGTAAGCAGTAGGTCTGTGTGAAGTGGCAAGTATTTGCTTCAGATTCGGAATTGGCGGATTCAGAGGACAGTGATTCAATTCGGAGATTCAAATCGCTGTCCCAATTTGATTTGGCTGAATCGGATCTGAAAGATTTGGCCATAGATTAAACAGGCAGCTGGTACAGCTGCCTCCAGCTGGTAACTGTTGGGGTTGGGGGAGGGCGGAGGAAAGGGGCATGGGGGAGGGAGGGATTGGGGC